CTCGGGACAAGTAGGGGGGGGGTCACTGGGTGCTGTCCTGGCGTGTGTGTGGGTGGGGCATGGGTGCTGAGGGAGAGAAAGGTCTCTTTATTGGTGTGCCTGTGGTCCCCGTGCCACAGAGGGATCCTGGATCGCCGCAGTTCTGCCATTTTAACCTTTTCCCTCCTAAAGGCGGGTCTTGTGTGAGAGAGAGACAGGCCTCCTGGACCGTGGTGTCCAGGTCCTCTGAGGTCGCACCCTGTGGGCTCCGGGTGCTCCATGGGCACGGCTGGGCGGGTCCGGGTGACGGCTGCGCACTGAGGGAGGCTCCGTGGCTGCTCTGGTGTCTGCGGCTCGTGGCCAGACGTGGTTTCACCAGTGGGAAGCCACGCCGCCGGCTGCCGCCGTTCTGTGCCGAGGCCCCCGTGCTCTGTGCCTCCGGCCGCCGCGTGTGCTGAGGAGGAGGCGGGTGGGCCGAGCGTGGCTCCCGCCCGAATGCGCCCTCGGAATGGCCGGCATCTGGTCCCCTCGGCAGCTCTGGGCGGTGTTCTCGCTGTGGAAGCGGCCCTGCCCGTGGCCCAGCCCGTGGCCCAGCCCGTGGCTCTGCCCGTGGCTCTGCCCGTGGCTCTGCGAACAGAACTCTCCCGGGAACATTGAACGTGAGCGTGGAGAGCCGGCGGGAAAGCTTCGCCCGGGCCAGACACAGGCTGTTCTCCACTGTTTGTCAGCGATCGCACACCGGACGCAGGGGAGCCAGGCGGGGTCTGCGCCCACGCACAGCTGCCGCGAGGAGGAGCCGCCGGGGAGCCGGTCAGGGTGCTGCTCCGCCCCGGTGGCCGGCGGTCGGGAGCCTGGGCCGCGCCGTGGCCATCACACCGTGAGCCGGATGGAACGCTCAGCACGTCCGGAAGGAGCTGGCAGAGGCTGGTCCGGACCCTGGCTTTGGCGTCTGGAGGAGGAAGACACTCTGTTCGGGGCAGATTCATAGCTTCCACTGATTGTTACTGAAATGGACGCAAACAGAAAGGGACCACCCGAGTGAGGCTGGAGATCAAGCCCACCTGCCCACCCAGTCCCGTCCATTCCGAGCACCACAGCCCGGAGACACCAGAGCCCCCCACCGGCCAGACCCCCTGCCCCGTCAGCTCTGTCCGCCGGCTAGGTCGCCGCCCCCATCAGCTCTGTCCACCGGCCAGCCACCCCCCCCTCCCCCGTCAGCTGTGCCTACTGGCCAGGTCCCCGCCCCCGTTAGCTCTGTCCACCTGCCAGACCCTCCCCCCCCCCCGTCAGCTCTGTCCGCCGGCCAGACCCCCCTCCCCTGTCAGCTCTGTCCACTGGTCAGGCCTCCCTCCCCCGTCAGCTCTGTCCACTGGTCAGGCCTCCCTCCTCCGTCAGCTGTGCCCACCGGCTAGGTCGCCGCCCCCGTCAGCTCTGTCCGCCGGCCAGCCACCCCCCGCTCCCCCGTCAGCTGTGCCCACTGGCCAGACCCCCTCCCCCGTCAGCTCTGTCCGCCGGCCAGCCATCCCCCGCTCCCCCGTCAGCTGTGTCCACCGGCCAGACCCCCCTCCCCCGTCAGCTCCGTCCGCCGGCCAGACCCCCTCCCCCGTCAGCTCTGTCCACCTGCCAGACACCCCCCCCCGTCAGCTGTGCCCACCGGCCAGGTCCCCGCCCCCGTTAGCTCTGTCCACCGGCCAGACCCCCTCCTCCGTCAGCTCTGTCCACCTGCCAGACCCTCCCCCCCCTCCCCTGTCAGCTCTGTCCACTGGTCAGGCCTCCCTCCCCCGTCAGCTCTGTCCACTGGTCAGGCCTCCCTCCTCCGTCAGCTGTGCCCACCGGCCAGGTCCCCGCCCCCGTTAGCTCTGTCCACCGGCCAGACCCCCTGCCCTGTCAGCTCTGTCCACCGGCCAGCCACCCCCCCGCTCCCCCGTCAGCTGTGCCCACTGGCCAGGTCCCCGCCCCCATTAGCTCTGTCTACCTGCCAGACCCCCTCCCCCGTCAGCTCCGTCCGCCGGCCAGACCCCCTCCCCCGTCAGCTCCGTCCGCCGGCCAGACCCCCTCCCCCGTCAGCTCTGTCCACCTGCCAGCCACCCCCCCAGCCTCCCATCAGCTCTGTCCGCCGGCCAGACCCCCTCCCCCGTCAGCTCTGTCCACTGGTCAGGCCTCCCTCCTCCGTCAGCTCTGCCCACCGGCCAGACCCCCCCAGCCTCCCATCAGCTCTGTCCGCCGGCCAGACCCCCTCCCCCGTCAGCTCCGTCCGCCGGCCAGACCCCCTCCCCCGTCAGCTCCGTCCGCCGGCCAGACCCCCTCCCCCGTCAGCTCTGTCCACCGGCCAGACCCCCTCCCCCGTCAGCTCCGTCGGCCTGCTGCCCTCCTGTGGCGTGCGGCCTCTGGAAATGGGGTCTCATGTGGGGCCTCGCCTCCTCCACCGTCGACGTAGAGGAAGAGGGTGAGTGAAAGGGAAGGGCCGGAGGCTCCAGAGCCACCCGGAGCGGGCAGTCCTCTCGCTCGAGGGAAAGCCCAGAGAAATTCCGCGAGTGGAGAGGAGTGACCGCCAGGCGAGAGGACCGTTACCCCAAACCGACTGAGGGGCGTGGCAGGCCCTCTGCCGGGGTCCGAGAGGCCAGGAGACAGACCTGGAATGTGCTGGGGGAGGGTCGGTCCTGGCCGCGCAGCGCCCAGTGCGGCTGCGGTCACTCGCTGACCCTCGGGCGGTGACTGGGCTCTGAACACCGAGGCGGCAGGGACGGGCTGGGGTCTCCGCGTCTCTGGCTTTGCATAGCGGGGGCAGAGGGGGAGTGAGCAGACACAAGGCTCTGGCCAATCACAAGTTACCAGGAACAAGAATTAATTCCGTCCACACCAGGACGCCCCCTTCTGCAGAGTCAGCTCGGAGGCCTCAGAGGGCGGCCTCCGAGGAGAGCAAGGACGACTCGGATCCCAGCAGGCTCTGCGTTGTCTGTCCTAGAGGAACTGGTTGGGAACTAGGACCTGGTTTTTCCCTGCCTTGATTTCGAACCAAGTAAAGATGCTTACACAGGCTCTGTCCTGACCCGGCATCCACGCCAGTGTTAACTCTCCTTCACACAGCCTGGCCGGTGTGGCTCTGTGGCCGAGCACCACCGACCAGGAGGTCAGGGTTCGATTCCTGGTCAGGACAGAGCCTGGCTGGGGGCTCCATCCCCAGGATGGGGCGTGCAGGAGGCAGCTGATCCATGATTCTCTCACATCATCGATGCTTCTCTCTCTCTCTTCCTTTCTCTGAAATCATTAAAAACATTAAGAAAAGGAATGTTAGACAGACATACTGACTTCTTAGTGTTTTTAATAAACGTATGGATTTCCTCATGAGTACGGGACTTGGTGATGTCGGGACTCCAAGTTCAGCTTCTGTAGCTCCCGCCCCGAGACCAGGGAGGCAGGCCCCAGGGCCTCCTGGCCGGGCTGGGACCGGCCCCTGCAGCTGGTGTATGAACACCGGGGGAGATTCTGAGTGGAGGCCCCAAGGGCCTATGGGCCGCCCCAGAGCGGCCTTGCCGTGAAGCAGGGGTAATTAACCTGCTCCTTGCCCCCGTGTAGCCCATGAGGGTGACGGAGGAGAGCCTGTTTCCAATCGTGTGAGCTCGGAGCCCGGCGCACAGACCCGGGCGGGGCCGGGCCTCGGGGCGGCAGGCAGAGGCTCGGTGCTCTGTGTGCGGCTTCGGCAGGAGCTGAGCCGGCTCGGGGGTCGGCGTTCTGGCTCGGACGACCTGAGCGTTTGCCGGATTCGCTGTTTCACTTTTACCTCCGTTTTTACGGAGCGGCCGGAGGGCACTCCTCGCTCCCTTAATCCCTCGCAGCTGCTCCCTCCCTTGCTGCTCGGACCCGCGCCCTCCTGGGCGTTTACCGCCCTTCCCTCTGCGCCCGGAGGAGTGATGTGTTTAGTGTTTAAACTTTAAAATTAATAGACTCTCCGGGCCAGGAATGCGCGGCCCCCTCCCAGGACGCACACCGGCCCGGCCTCCGTGGCCCCGTGGCCATGTGGCCGTCAGGCTGCTGGTGGAATTGGGCGCCTCCCTCCCCAGTGGGGCCCCGGCCGGGCACACACAGCCTTTGTCTGGGGGTGGGCCTGGCTCGGGGGCCGGCCCCTCCCTGCCCGGGCTGCAGTCTGGGGCTGAGCACCCGATTAAAGGCCAGGTTTGGATGTCCTAGGTTTGGCCCCCTCGGCCCCCAGTCAATCGGCGCATTGTTCTCGCCCTCCTGCCTCTTGGTGTTCTCGGAGCCAGAACGGGCTTTTCCCTGCGAAGCCGTAAGCCAAGGCTAAACTATGTCAGCAATGTGTCTGCGATGGATCCCGGCCAGCGTCTGGTGTGCGAGGGAAGGAGCCTCGGATTCCACCGCTCCCGGGAGCCTGCACCTCCGCCCGGGCCGGACACACCCCCGGGGGCAGGGCAGGCGGCTCCCGGGCACTGCCCACCGCCGGGTCGCCCCCACTGCGTGCCCCTCAGAACGCGCGGCCCCCTCGGGGGGACCCTGCCGAGGACCCCGGCGCCCAGCCCGCCGGCTCTCACTCCGGACGCGCCGGGCTGACAGCTGCCCCCGCTCGCTGGCCCAGATGGGACTCTGGGCTGGACCAGGTGCAGCGAGAGCCCAGATGAGGGGGCGGGGCGCCTGGGTCTGACCTGGGCTTCTGGTAATGCAGGGGGAGACCCAGGCCCCAGGGGTGGGCTTGCAGGGACCAGGTCCTGGGACGGGGGAGGGGGCAGCGCACCTTGTGGTGGGGCCGGGAGCTCTCCCAGACAGACAGGCACGCGTGTTGTGTGCATGTGTGTGCATATGTGTACGTGTGTACTGTGCACGCACATGTGTGCACCGTGCGTGTGCCCCCAGCCGGGGAGGAGGTGCACACAGCTCCTGGGGGTGGCCCCGCGCCCCAGCGGCATCTGAGCTGAGCGGCTGCGGGCTCAGGAGGTGGGGCTCTGGCTGGAGGGAGGGAGGGGAGAGAGGGAGGGAGGGGAGGAGGAGGGGAGCAGCGAGGGAGGGAGGGGAGGAGGCAGCAGCAGGCTCGCAGCTCTTTGACAGGAGCCAGGGAAGCAGCAGGACCTCTCGGTGCCCTGCCGTGCGGTGCAGGGAGGGCAGCTGCGAGCCGGGCCGGAGCGGAGGGAGGGCCCCAGCCCAGCGCCAGGCTCCGCAGAGTGTCCCGCTGGGCCCGCGCACCATGCCGCCGGCCCGGCTCCGGCTGTGCTGGCTGCCGCTGCTGCTCGCGGGGCTGCTGCCGCGGGCGCCCGCACAGAGGTTCTCCGCGCTCACGGTGAGTCTGGTCCCGCGGGGGGCGGGCGGGCGGGCAGGCGGCCCGGCCCGGCAGGTGGGGCTGGGGCGGGTGCCGGTGTGCGGTGCGCGGGCGCTGGGAGGGGTGGGGCCGGGGATCGGAGTGCGCTCCGCGGTGGACCCACTGGGAACGGGTGTCCCGGCTCCGGAGCGCGCCCTTCCGCAGCTCAGCGCGGGCGCGGGCACCGGCTCCGGGCGCGGACGGATCGGAGGGCGGCGAGCCGGGCCCCCTGTCGCCCCGGGTTCGCAGGGGGCCTTCCCGGAGACCCGCCCTTGGAGAGGGAGGGCGGTGACGGACAGGAAGGGTCACTGGTCCCTGGCGTGAGGGGACAGAGAGGGAGGAGGAGCCGTCTGCGCCGAGGGCACTGGCCCCGAGCCCCCCCCCCCCGGGCTGTGGAGCCCGGGCGCGCACCCAGCCCGGGCCCTGCGGCTGACCGCGGTGTTTTCCTCTCTGAGCGGCAGCTCCAGGCCGTGGCTGGGCGGCCCGCGGTGCCAAGCGCCAAGCTATGTCCCCTGGTCGCGCCAAGCCACGGCCGCCCCGCCGCGCCTGCAGCCCCGCTCCCCCCGCCCCCCCCCCCCGCCGGGGCTGCACCGTAATCGATGCAATCTGCAGGAGAACACCCCGACACCCCGACGTGTGTTCCTGAACAAGTGCTGGGAAGCACGCGGCGCACACCTCGGAGGGCCTGGGTGGCGGACGGGCCCCTGGTCCGGGCATCGGCGCCTGCTCTCAGGGGCTGCTCCGGGCGGGGAAGGCGCTAGCGGTTCCTGGTTCATACCTCAGATTCCTCTGGGGCCGCCCGCCCCGCCTGTGTCTCAGCGGCTTGTCGATTAGAGCTGTTCCGGGGCTGGAGGGTTTCACACGCTCAGCCTGCTCCTGCTCAGCTGCATCTCCCCAGGGGACCACCCGCCAGCCTGCACTGCCTGTGTTCATGTGCACACACGTGTGTGCATGCCTGTATGCATGGTACACACACATGAAAACAGTGCCTGAGAGGGTTGGAGAGGCTGAGCCCGATGCTCTGGGAGACCCACGGTTTTGGCCGCGGAGCAGCCGGTGCGCGAGGCAGCCAGTCGGGGGCCCGCGTCCTGGGGGGCCCGGCCGGGTGGTCCCCGAGGAGCAGCAGGATCGTGCGGTTAGCTGTTGGAACAATTTAAATCTCCGCAGAGTTTCTCCTCTTCTCTCCCTCCCTCCTCCCTCTTCCACTTAACCGTTTCCTCGCAGCCTCTGCTGCTCCGCCCGCCTGCCTGCACGCTCTCAGCCCCGCCGCAGCCACGCCAGCCACACGTGGGCTCCGTGGCCACGCCGGCCCCGCGGGGTCCTGGGCCTCCCTCACGGCGCTGCGGAGGCCGTGTGGCTCTACCACCAGGTGCCGGCGGGGGCTGTGCCGTCCCGCCCCCGGAGAGGGCTTACAGCCCTGAACTGTTTGGCAGACGCTCCCACCCCCCGCCCGCCCCCTCCACCCCCTCCACCGCGGACACCAGGAAGCGGACGGGCGGGGGAGCGGGTCTTTGTTCGGAGCGAGGCTCGCAGCCTCCCGTCTGGTCCTGCATAAATCAGCGCCCGCGGGCAGGCTCCCGGAGGCTCTGGTGCTCTCTGCTCTCCCTATGGGCCGGGCCGGCGGCTCTTTCTGCTCAGACGTGTGAGGACTGGACAGGGCCTGATAGGCACCGGGCAGAGTCCCCGCCCGTTAACGTCCCTCTGAGGCCTCATCCCCTCTCCACCGCCTGCTGGTCTGCCCCCCACCAGCCACGGCACCCCCCTCCCGCCATGCTCCCGCCCCGGCCCCTTCGCCCCGGCCCTGTGTGGGCCCCGCGCGGGGTGTCCGCCGTGGGCCCGGAGGGCAGTGGGAGAACAAGTGCTCTGCCTCCCCCCATTCGCCCGCTTCTCACCTGGAAACAGGCGCCTGCACGCGTGGCGTTCGGAAGTTTCCGGGCCTGGCCTGGCCTCTCAGGACGCGCCTCTCCCTGCTGCCCATTCACCGGGCCGCGTGGCCAGAGCGCCCTGGGCTTTGTGTGCGAGACACGAGGACCTGCTTTGTTTGAGAATTACTTTATGTCCGCCTCCGCCCTCCTGTGTGTTTCCTGGGGCTGTGTGTGTGAGTGTGTGTGTGTCCTGTCCCTGGGCCCCCCCCGAGTGTGTGTGTGTGTGTGTGTGTGTGTGTCCTGTCGCTGGGCCCACCCTGAGTGTGAGTGTGTGTCTGTGTGAGTGTGTGTGTGTCCTGTCCTTGCCCCCCCCCCAAGTGTGTGTGTGAGTGTGTGAGTGAGAATGTGTGAGTGTGTGAGTGTGTGTGTGAGTGTGTGAGTGTGTGTGTGAGTGTGTGAGTGTGTGAGTGTGTGTGTGTGAGTGTGTGAGTGTGTGCGTGTGTGTGTCCTGTCACTGGGCGCCCCCTGAGTGTGAGTGTGTGAGTGTGTGAGTGTGTGTGTGTCCTGTCCCTGGGCGCCCCCTGAGTGTGAGTGTGTGAGTGTGTGTGTGTGAGTGTGTGAGTGTGTGAGTGTGTGTGTCCTGTCACTGGGCGCCCCCTGAGTGTGAGTGTGTGAGTGTGTGAGTGTGTGAGTGTGTGAGTGTGTGAGTGTGTGTGTGTGAGTGTGTGAGTGTGTGAGTGTGTGTGTGTGAGTGTGTGAGTGTGTGTGTGTGTGTGTGTGTCCTGTCCCTGGGTGCCCCCTGAGTGAGTGTCCGTGGAAGCAGTGAGGGCGCAGTGCCCAGCGCTGTGGGAGGGGCCACGGCCACGAGTGGAGCTGACCCGCCGCTGTGCCCGCACGTGGGAGGCGGGTGGAGGGCGCCCCTCGAGGGGCCTTTGCTCAGGGCCGTGAAGGCAGCACCCGAGGGCTCCTGGGAGGGACACTGACGGGGACTCTGTCTGATCATCAGAGCCCCCCCCGCCCCCCGGAAAGCCGAGCGCGCACTCTGTGTCCGTGTCCAAGAGAAGAGGAAGCCGGGCCCCAGAGGCCGCAGGAGCCCGAGAGCAGGTGGCCCGGCGCTCGCACGCCCACCGGGGGGCGCTGTCCCTCCGCGTGGGCGGCGTCCCGGCTCCTCTCTGTCACCTTCAGACCAGGACTGGGCACCGCCTTCCCCTGCGAGGCACTGGGACGGGGAGGGCTCCGGACGGGCTGGCCGGGCGCGTGTGGCAGGAGGAGGGACCCCATGCCATGGAGCGCACAGGCCGGGTCCCCCCCTAACGCGCCCAGAGCGAGGGTGTCGGTGACGGGACAGGACTGCCTGACCGACGGCTGTCGCCTTTGGAGTCCGAACGGCGCCTGCGGCACATCTGCCTGCGGCCCCAGGAGAGGGTTCAGGAACAGAAGGACTTTCCCTGGGGAAGGCGCTACCCTGGAGTGAGCACAGCAGGCATTCTCCTGTGGTTCTGTGGCCCCGGGCGGAGATGCAAGAGCCAGGGTTGGGATAAAACACCAACAAATAAAAGCAAGCAAAGCGGCAGCTCGCATTCACGTGGTCCGGATGAAGAAAAAGAAATTGTACGTGGAAACGTGGACGCTAGAGATCCGGCCAAATGTCATTGGAGTTCTGCACGCCAGGCATCTCAGAGTGACCCCAAACCACAATAACCCCAGGGGTCTGTGGTGTGACCTCACGCAGCCCCCCTGTGCGCGCGGGGACGGGCGTCGGCAGAGGGCGGGCGCTTCCTCCATTCCGGGGGATCTCCCTTCGTTACGTGGTCTTCGGGCAGACGGACGGACAGATGGGCGGACAGGCAGGCGCCTCTCTCCCTCTCCCCTAAATCTCCGGACCCCATTCCGTCCGCCTTCCCTGTCCCCGGCGCTGACGGCTAACAGACCCATCGTTTCTGCGTCAGCACCGGCTGCGTCCAGAAGAGGCTTTCCAGTGTCTGTTCCTTGTATGCCGTCCCTGAGCGCCTCCCCCCTCCGCCGTGCGCTCCGTGGCCAGCGCTGTGGTGGGCGGGCCACGCCGCCACGCGATCCGGCATCAGGTTACCGGCCCGGCCCTTAGCCAGCCGTGCCCAGGGCAGGTTTTCATTCTGGGGGACGGGTAAGCCGGCTCCTGCTGTTGGAGGTCGCCGGCAGAGACTCCGCCAACGGGAAGGACGCTTCCGGGCGTGAAGGGGTGCGGATACATGAGGGCGCCCGTCAGGGAGGCATTGTCGCTGGGCCTGCTCCTCTCTGCGGACCCCAAGTTGCTGAGTTCAGTGGCTTCTTCCAGAGCAAGCTCCTCAGTTTGCTGGGGGAAAGCAGGAGTATAGAGGCTGACCTTGTCTGAGTCGTTCATTTTTTAAATACATTTTTGTTGATGTCAGAGAGGGAGGGAGAGGGAGAAATATCAATGATGAGAGAATCATGGATCGGCTGCCTCCTGCACGACCCCACGAGGGATCAGCCTGCAACCCAGGAGTGTGCCCCAACCGGAAATGGAACCGTGACCTCCTGGTTCCGTGGCCTGCAAACTGCGGCTCTCGAGCCACATGCGGCTCTCTGGCCCCTTGAGTGTGGCTCTTCCACAAAACACCACGGCCTGGGCGAGTCTGTGTTGAAGAAGTGGCGTTAGAAGAAGTTTAAGTTTAAAGAATTTGGCTCTCACAGGAAATGTCCGTCGTTGTCCTGTCGATAGCTGGCTCTGCGGACTGAGGAGTTTGCCGACCACGGGCCTGGGTCACAGGTCGACGCCCACGCCCTGAGCCAGGCCGGCAGCTGCACCGGCTTCTCCAGCTCCTCCTCAGACACGACACAGGCTCCCTCTCTTCGCCGCGTCTCGCCGGCCTCTGATCACTGACCTCTCAGGCCAGTGAGTCTCTCCAGGGCTCTCCCCATGGTTTCCATCATCGAGGAAAAGCTCGCAGATCAGAACGGGTGCGTCACAAGGTGCACCCCCCGGTGAGAGGCCCCCTTTAAACGCGAGGGAGGTCTCAGAATAAGAAGCAGAGGCCTCGTGAGCGTGCGGTTTGAAAACAGCTCGAGGGCGGGCAGAGGTCTTGGAGCCGACCCCGTGCCGCCCGCGTGCCCGGGCGT